CCGTCAACGGTGTTGAAGGCCCCTCCCCTTTCCGGGCTCCGAGCTCCCGGGATCAACAATCCAGTTGAGGATGTCAGCTCAAATGATCTGACATGCGGCCTTGTCACGCATACTTCAACCGATGTGATTGAAGTTGAGGCTGGCGATGAGATCGGCGCCTGGTATCAACACATCCTTGGCGGCGAACAATACCCTGGAGACGTCGACAACCCGATTGCCGCATCGCACAAGGGACCTATCACTGCATGGCTCGCAAAGGTCGATGACGCTGCAACGTCGTCCCACGCCAACCTTGAGTGGTTCAAGATTGCCGAGGACGGTTTCGACAACACGAGGGGCATTTGGGGCGTCGACAACCTGCTACAGCAGGATGGATGGACGTACTTTGACGTTCCGGAATGCATCGCACCCGGGGACTACCTTTTGCGCGTCGAGCTTTTGGCCCTTCATTCTGCTTATGTTCCCAAGGGCTCGCAGTTTTACACTTCATGTGTCAACTTGAGAGTCACCCGCGGAGGAAACTTTGCACCAGCAGAGACATTTGCTATCCCGGGTGTTTATGAGGCGAACGACCCGGCAATCACCATCATGATCTACGGCAACACGGGGGAAGCCGGACAACAATTCTGAAGCCATACACGCCTGCTGGCCCGAGGCCCATTACTTTGCTGAGAGGGTTCCTGATCCTGAGGAAAGCTGTCTACGTGTACTTCTCCACACCATGTTGGGATACCCACGAGCCCCTCCTTGTTCGGCGGGGTAGGACACGATTCGGTTGGAACAGGCCACATTCGTCTTAGCCGCAGGCTTAACAAGCTGGGGGGGGGGGGGGCCGAGGGGAGGTAAAAGGCCGCACCTTAAGGCAATTGAACACGTGAAATGAAGACCAATAATTTCCACCATGACATGGATCACCTCCGTGTTGATCTTCCAGCCCCATTGATCGATCGCCGGAGTGGAAGCTTTTGTCTCACACCTCTTGCTCGCTGTCCTCCCCCACTGACTTTGCTGTGTGCGCGCTTGTCTCATCTCGGCTCAGCCATCTTGATTAGCGTTTCTTTTACTCCTCAGCCATCTCGCCATGTCCAGTCCGACCCCGCAAGCCACTGCGGCCCATCCGGATGTCCTCGACGTTGACGAAGCCGCGATCCGCGGCGACGACGCCGACTCGGCGGTAGGTTCGGTCGCCAGTTCTACCACGTCAATCAATTCGAGCATTCTCCGATATCGTCAGGAGAACGGCCGAACGTATCACGCCTACAAGGATGGCGCCTATCCTATGCCCAACGACAATGACGAGCAGGAGCGCCTCGACCTCCAGCACCACCTGTTCCTCATGACTTTCGAGAACAAGCTGTACCTGTCGCCCGCCGGCCGCGGCGGCCACCAGATCCACAACGCTCTCGACGTCGGCACGGGCACGGGCGTCTGGGCCAACGACTTTGCGGACGAGTTCCCCTCGGCGTCGGTCGTCGGTGTCGATCTCAGCCCCATCCAGAGTCCCTTTGTCGCCCCCAATGTGAACTTTCTCGTCGATGACATTGAGGCGCCGTGGACGTTCCACAAGAAGTTTGACTTCATCTACAGCCGCATGATGACCGCTGCGCTCGCCGACTTCCCGGGCTTTTTCCAGAAGGCGTACGAGAACCTGACGCCCGGCGGATGGTTTGAGATTGCCGACATCTGCCCCATCACCAGCGACGACGGCACCCTGACGGAAGACACGTCCACTCACGCGTGGGTGACGCAGTTGCTGGAAGGCACGCGGAAGATTGGCCGGCCCTTTGACGGCGCTTTCGACTACAAGAAGCAGCTCGAGGCGCAGGGCTTCCAGAATGTGCAGCAGGTCGTCTTCAAGTGGCCCCAGAACACGTGGCCCAAGGATCCCAAGTACAAGGAGCTAGGTATGTCTACCCATCATCGACGCGAGGCCCGACTGCAAAGCATGGGTGAAACGTAAGCTCACTTTCCTAGGCATGTGGAACCTTGAGAACATCACGTCTGGCCTTCATGGGTTGAGCGCTGCTGTGTATACCCGCGTTCTCGGCTGGTCGCACGAAGAGATGGAGGTCCTGCTGGCGAAGGTGCGCCGTGAGCTGAAGGACACCAGGATTCACTCCTACTGGCCGATGTAAGTGACTCTCTTGTCTTCTGATATCACCTGCTAACATGAACCGCTCAGTTATGTCGTGTATGGCCAGAAGCCCGAGAGTAAGAAGGATGAGAGCGAGGAGTCTGAGGGGAGCGCCCAGGCTTAGGCTATTCTGCATGACAGCTGTGGGAGTTTGTGCTGTCAGGGTGCTTATTCTGTAAGAGCACTGCGACTTTCTTCAAGCCGCTGTCCAGTAAATTGCTTGTGTAGTGTTTGGCCGTAGTTCGCGGTCATAGACGATGTTGTTGTTTGTTCCAGATGTCTGGATGGCAGAACAGTCGGCGATGCGCAAGGTCTGACTGATACTCGGTCATGGACCTTTGTATGGCCATGGGTATGTTGTCCGATATGTTTTCCGTGAAAAACAAGTAAACGAAGAGAGCGATAGAACCGCGTTTCTTGTCCCTAGACAGACCCCCTCTTATACTTGTGTGCGCGCCAAGACGAGATGTGTCCGAGGTCCGAGACACCACATCTGGACAGTCTGAATGCGAAATCTTGAGCGAAGATATGACAAGAGCTAGCATGGTGGATCGACGACATGGTAGAATCAAATCACATCGCAATCAACCCATTCCTGAACTCAAGTTTTGCCGATGTGTTCTCTCAAGAGTGGCGCACAAGCCAAGGCGCTACCCGGACTCGAGCAGAAAGATCGTGGCCCGATCGGCGTTCCATTACTGTGAATGCGGCCATTAGGTAAGGACAAAAACAGCCCACCGCGGCGTCGTTCATAACGAGGGGTTTTCCGGGAGAGTAGGGGGGGGGGGCGACATGTCATTGCATTCATCCTTCATCCTTCAATACGCCGGAGACCAACACTCTATCTTCAGTTCCAACCCAACGCCGCGGGAGTCAGAAGCCACAAAGACGAACGACGCATCCAGCATGGCCGCCTCCACAGACCTCCGCATCGACCCCATCACGAGCGCCGACGACTTTCCGGAAGCGCACCAAGTCGTCACCAACGCGTTCCCCAAGCAGGCCGGGGACGAGATCTGGGTGCACTTCAACCCGGGCTGGGACACGCCGGCCGGACAGGCGGCGGCGGCGGCGCGCATGGCGGCGCGCTTCCGCAAGACGACGCGCGACGCCGCCGGCGACCCGAACACGGTGTTCCTCAAGGCGACGCTGCCGGACCCGGACGGCGGGGACGGACAGCGGCGCATCGTCGGCGTCGCCATCTGGGTGCAGCTGTCCATGGTCGAGGGCCGCGGCGACAAGCCGGTCGAGGACCTCCGGGCGACGGCCGACCTCGAGGCGCTGTACCCGGGCGACGCCGCGCGGCGCAGCGGGTACTGCCGTCGGAGGTCGAAGCGGGGGGCTTGCACAGGCGGGGGGGCCCGAGGGTCCGTCAGGGCCCAAGGCGGGCGAAGGCGC